GTGGGTAGTAGGTGTTACCTGCCTTGTTGCCTCCTTCCTTCATCAAGGATGACAAACTTCTTGCTATTAGAGGTGGAGGTAAATAGCTTGCCATTATGGAGATGGAAGGACTCAACTAGTGGGTAACCCTGAAACCAAGTCCACTAGGAACTATTGAATAGTTTTATGAGAGACTGGATTGAAAGTAATCAAACCAAATAAAATCTTATACAATAAAATCTTATACAAATCTTATACATTAAAAGTTGATATTGGCTTGCTTTAAAATCCCTAATTCAAGCATGTTAACTTTAAGAAAGGATGTAAAATAGTAGGTAAGAGACTCAGATTGACTCTTTATAAACCAAGTTAGACTTAAAAAACAAAACAAAACAAAACAAAGCACCTTCCCCCACATATAAATAAACTTCAGTGAGATATACCGTAATTTATTATTATTATTTTTTAAAAGATTTTATTGGGGAATTGGACGGGAATAGCGTTGGGGAATCGGGGAAGGAGAACAGACAGGTAGACAAATTGCTGTTTTGTTCTTCAGTCTAGTTGTGGAGGACGTTGCTTCACTGGCCCATGTTNAGTGTCACTGGCCCTCATATGTGGGATCCGAACCGGGGCCCTCTGGCATCCCAAGCGAGTTCTTAACCATCGCGCCACTCGGCCGGCCCTCATGACTCATTTTTGCAACAAAAAAATATGTCATGACTTTTCCGACAACCCAATAGCTAAACATAATGAAAACACAACAGATATTTAAATCATACATTTATCAACTGATAATTGAAAAACTTGTATTGTGCCTAATCTACAATTGTTTTTTATGATGAAAATGTTAGGAGCTTTAATTTCCCTTGTTAAAGAGAAGGCACCAAGATTTTGTTGATTATTTTTTATTATTAGTTTCATGTGTACAGAACAATACAATAGTTATCCTTTTCACCCCTCACAAAGTAACAACCCCTCCCCCATCCACTGCCCTCCCACCCCCAATGTCATACTTACGTATTACAATTCCATTGACTCCAATCCCACACTCTACTCCATGTCCTGTGACTATATATAATTGTATATATAATTGTAGTTGACATACAATATTAGTCAACATCAGCTTCAGAAATACAGTGCGGTGGTCAGGCCTCTACACTGTCTATACAGTGGTCTCTTTAGCAAGACATGAGTCCAACTGGCCCCCTATAAAATATTTACAACATTATTGATTATATTCCCCGGACTGTCTTTTCTATCCCTGAGGCCATATTATTGATTAAACATAGCACCCTGTTGAAGTTGCTTGAGAACTTAGTATATCTAGGAGTGAGTTTTGTGGTAGCTGCAGAATTCTGCTTGTGAGACCTTAGGGTGTTATGACTTATGTATATAATGTTCTCTAATCCAAGCAGTAATAGCTTATGTAGGGAATTTTGTCTCTGTGGAACACAGTTAGACTGGGTGTTCTGTTAATGGTGGCCACATACTCACATTTGGTCTTTTGGAAACATAGTCCCACTTAATATTCGAGTAATTCAGAATTTTGGGAATCAGGTAATTGTACCAAATTTGAATAGTCAGCTGATCCTGAGTATTCTGAGAATGTTGGGGTGTGTGTGTGTGAGTACATGTACGTGTGTGTGTACATATGTACACATACAATTGATATATGAGTATGCTGCTTATTAATCTGACATTTGGTCAGCTTGGAGGAGGGTTGATTTGTAGTTTGACTCTGCCAGTATTGGTGAAAAGACATGAGTGGCCACAAAAAACAGGTAAACCTGTTCTTGGATTGTAAGCTACAGAGTCTAGAAGAGGCCATCTTCATGTGGAAGTATTGCATAGTTTCCATCTTTATATAGAAGAATCTTAAAATTAATATCAGGTACCGTTTTTGGGTCTTCTAACAATTTTCTTATAATTGCAACAGCTAATGGAAGTGACAGGAAAAAATCAAGATGAATGTATAGTAGCCCTACATGACTGTAATGGAGATGTGAACAAAGCTATCAATATATTGCTGGAAGGGAATTCAGATACGGTAAGATTATTAATAAGTATTATTAATTGTTATGCAGTGCTAAGATTTGTCTCCAATTCCATACTTTAAACTTCACCTTATATGGGGGTAGGGATGGAGGAGATTATGGGTGCCATTCCATATTTGTTTTAAGTTCCAGAAAGAACACTAACCTGAAATGACTGTTTTTGTTATATATGATTTCTGTATGAAGTCGTAGAATCGGAAGACTTGAAAGAGAACTTGGTCATCTACTCCAGCCTTACCCAGTTTCCAAAATTCTCTGGGCCTGTGGACATTTTCACCACCTGAAAAAACTTCTCTTGGCTCCACTGTTCATGTTTTCTTCATCTCAGTCGTAACCTGTTACTACTCCTTATGTCTCTAGAGTAACAGAAAACCAGGATTTGCTGGTATATCTATTTGCTAATGTGTGAATATTCTACAGACACATTTTCATGTCCGTTTAACAGATGTATAAAAGGAGAAAAGATTTTTTAGCTTAGTAAAGCTGAAGGAATGTGTAGTTACACTAGAGCTCCTCCTCATCCTTGTTTTTTTTTTTNCAGTGTCACTGGCCCTCATATGTGGGATCCGAACCGGGGCCCTCTGGCATCCCAAGCGAGTTCTTAACCATCGCGCCACTCGGCCGGCCCATATTGGCACTTTTTAAAGTTGGGAAAATTTTGAGGAAGCAGGCTCTATTATACTGCTGGTGGAGTAGACATCTTTGCAAACTTTGTGCAGAGCATTTCTGAGGAGAAGATATGAGATTTTAACATTTTTCTAGATACTTATTTCATATCTTTGTCTTCTCAGAAAGCTGTCACGGATATATATACAAATTAGGTATAAAATGGATCTCGGTAGTGTTTAGGTAGTAATGAAAAATTTGTGAGTAAATAAAATGCAGGACATATCCAGTGGATTGGTTGGCAGCCAATAAACATTCTGCTATAGATATTCACAATAAATTGTGTGTGTGTGCGCGCGTGCGTGTGTGTGTGTGTGTGTGTGTTACCCTACAAAGAAATAAGTTTAATATACTGTTTTTGATATCAAAGAAAAATATGTAAGTGCCAAATAAATAGTTTTGGTACTAGATGGTTACCTTAGGGGTCACTGTAATTTTCTTGAGGGATCTGTGACAATTTTGTAATTTAAGGAAATTTAATTGTGGGATACAATGATCATTAATGTACTTGGAATGGAGCAAGGCTGAATGAATACGAGTAAGGTACAATTTTTAGATTTGAGACCCAGGGAGTGGAAGATATTGGTATTTAAGGAAATTGGGCAAAAATTGATCATGTAGGCTTTCAGCATCAGGGGCACTAAGGGTTTACTTTCATTCATAAAAAGTTGTCATTACCCAAAAACCCAAATGTATAATGGGAAGTGCCATCTTTCCAGATCTCATCCTCTTGATTTTCCCCTTTTACTTCATCCAGTTATTTCATGCCTTTGGTCCTTTTGGCCGCAGCACTAGGACTTCTCAGTTGATTGTGGGTTAAGAAAATGATTGTCTGATGTGTAGGTAGGTATAGTGAGAGTATATGTAAGGCCCTTATACACTGGGTAGCACTGAGGTAAAATTGGCAGTATGTGTAGACACTGAGTTTCTGTATAAACATGTTTCTGGCTGTAATGTAGTAGCACTATAAGCAGTTCAACTGAGGCCACAGCAGGCTGGCATAGGTTGGGATGAAGGGATTGATTGGCCATTAGATTGGAGGGATCAGGCCAAAGCTAGCTGGATCTTGTAGAATCAACCACCTGTATGAACTATGAGATTATTTGAAATATATATGTTTCAAAGCAGAGAAAAAAGTTGTTCATTATTAGCTCCTTGTGGGGATGATTTAGTAATTTGAACTGTTTAACATTTTAAACATTTATGTTGGGAGTTAGTATAGATTTGAGGTAACGGTAACTTTGGGGGGGGGGAACCCCACAAAACTGTTTTGGAGTAATTTTAGATTTACCAGAAAGTTGCACAAAGATAGAACAGAGGATTCCTGTATACCCCTCACCTAGTTTCCCTGTTGTCATAACCATGGTACCTTTCTCAAAGCTAAGAAACCAAATTGACATATTACTTATTAACTACTGCACAAAAGAGTAACTTTTAAAAATACCTTTCTAATTTTTTGTTGCCAAAAATACCACAAAAGGAAACCTCAAAAATTCAGTAATTTGATTATTATTATTTTTTTTGTTAAAGCTGAGCCATCCTGCCACCTGTTGGCAGCTTAGCAGCAGCTCAGCTCAGGCCAGGAATTGAACCGGCTACCCTGTTGCTCAGAGCTCACATTCTAGAGTGAGCTCTTAACCAACTGAGCCACTTGGCCGGCCCCTGATTTTTTTTTTTTTAAAAGAATTTTGTGTGAAAAAAGCAACTGGGAAATAGTCCTTTTCTGCAGAGGCGACTAATTTAGTGTTTGCAAGTTTCCATTTAAAAAATTTTGTGAAAACCATTTTTTTATTGTAGTTAAAAAAGAGTGACTTTAAAAATAAATTTTATTTAGATAAATACAGCCTTTTCTCTTTAGAGCTGACCATTATAGCTTTTTAGAGCTTTTAGAACTTCTTTGCTTTTTTGACAGCAAAGCTAGTTCTAAGATTGTGTCCTGGCAGCTGTTCCCATTGCTTCCTGTTCGACCACTTTGTTTTGTGTTGGTTACTCCCATTTCCCCTGGGGAAAGAAAATTCAAATGAGTACAGGACCAGTGATGATGAACAAGAACTTTAGGGCGTTTGGCCAAAGGAATGGGATCTTTGTGATATCTAATTTGATCTCTATTTACATTATGGGAACAGATTGTATACATTTGAGAGGTCTTAATTCAGAGTCCTTTTGTGTTTTTTAAATCAGTATTTCTGTTACCATAGTGCTGGAGTGCTTGAGAGCTTTTATCTATTTGCATCAGATTTTGGCATCCAACTTATAATTTTGGTGTTCAGATCTTTAACAATTGTATGTGCTTTCCAGGCAACAGCTGAACAGATGCGTCTTGCTCAAGTGATCTTTGATAAAAATGATTCAGAGTTTGAAGCTAATGTTAAACAGGTAAGTTTGTAGCAAAGGATGCTATAATTTTTCTAACCTATTTTTATTATGCCTTAAAAATATAATTTTACTAGATATTTTAATTTTAAAGTATGCTTCTTGCTTAGTCTCAACTAATTGTGTTTTGAACTTGTGATTAAATACCTGTGTTCGTGGCTAGAATGAAGGAATTGAAGAATATGTTCATCCTCTTGGTAGTAGAATCTTTGAGTTGTATTAAATGGGAAAAATGAGCTAGACTTTTGTGAAAGCACATTGACATTGTCTATACATGTATATAGAAAGTATATTTAGTTTTTAGCAAGTTCTCAGAAAATTTTGTTTAATTTAAAGGAGAGCTGAGTGGCCCTTTCAGAATTGGTGGTAATTCTAAACACATGTTGGAAAAGTAGGAAATTAAATTTTAGGGTGATGTCTGCACTTATAACTTAGTTTTTAAAAAGATTTTATTGGGGAATTGGGGAAGGGAAACAGCCAAGTTGTTGTCCTTTAGTCTTAATTGTGGAGGGCGCAGCCAGCCCAGCTCGGAGTCCAGTCACCATCCGGCCGCCCGTCGCAGCTCACGGCTGCTCAGCTTGGGTGCAGCTCACTGGCCCTTGTGGGAATCGAACTGGCGACCCTGTTGCTCAGAGCTCACACTCTTAACCAATTGAGCCACTTGGCTGGCCCCTATTAATTAGTTTTTTGACCACAGAGAAATCACTTCAAATGTTGGGGTCAAACTATTTTGAACTGCAGCTAGTACATGCTAAAATATAGGGTTGTGGGAGAAGTCATGACTTTTTTTTATTTTTTATTTATTTATTGGGGAATTGGGGGGATGGGAACAGTGCTGGGGAATTAGGGGAAGGGCAACAGACAAGTTGCTGTCGTTTTGTTCTTCAATCTAGTTGTGGAGGATGTTGCTTCACTGGCCCATGTTGGCACCATCATTGCGCTCTTCCCGAATGAGGCAGATCAGTCGCCAGCCTCTGGACGGCTGCTCATGGCAGCTCTTGGCAGCTCACGCTGGCTTCCGGCCGCTCACGCTGGCTGCCGGCCACTCATGGTAGCTTATGGCAGTTCACTGCAGCAGGGGCTGCAGCCTACGCCGTAGCTGGCGACTCATGGCAGCCGGGCTCCAGGTCGAGCTGTTGTTCAGCATCTTTGCTGTAGAGGGCAGTGTCACTTGCCCTCATGTAGGATCTAAACCGGGGTCCTGCTGCTTAGAGCTGGCATCCCAAGCTAGCTCTTAACCAGCGGGCCACTATGCCGGCCTGAGTGAGATATACTTTTTATATCATAACACCTATATTTAAATATATTTAAACAGGCAATTGAAGGGTAATGGTTTATGTCTGGAGATTTCTTTGAATCATTTAGCACCCAATGTCCAGAACAGGGCAGGAGGGGGAAAAACATTTATAATAGTACCCAATAGGCACAGAAACAAAATTGACTTGCTCAGTGAATATCAGTAAAGTCCAGTTTGATAGTAAGTGAATAGTGGTGCAGGACTAATAGTTTACATCACCTTCATAATTAAAGCATAAATGTTCTTTGTTTTATGTAACAAGTTCCTTCACAGAAGTTGGGTTGCAATTATTTAATGTCTTAATTTACTCTCTCTTAGTGTGTTGAATTAGCCTTAAAGCAATTGATTGTTCTGTCCCTTCCCAGTTATTTTTGGTGTGTTGGGTAGCTGGCAAATTTTAAAGTGTATTTAAAAAACACGTACATGCTTTAAAAAGTGTACTTTAGGGGCCGGCCGAGTGGCGCGATGGTTAAGAACTGGCTTGGGATGCCAGAGGGCCCCGGTTCGGATCCCACATGAGCGCCAGTGACACTGCCCTCCACAGCTAAGATGCTGAACAACAGCTCAACCTGGAGCTGGGCTGCCCGTGAGTTGCCGGCAATGGCATAGGCTGCAGCCCCTGTGGCAGTGGGTTGCCATGGGCTACCGTGTGTAGCCAGCAGCCAGCGTGAGCAGCCAGCAGCCAGTGTTAGCGGCCAGCAGCCGCAGAGAGTGGCTGTCCAGAAGCCGGTGACTAATCTGCCTCGCCCGGGAAGAGCGCAATGATGGTGCCAACTTGGGCCAGTGAAGCAACGTCATCCACAGCTAGACTGAAGAACAAAAGGACAGCAACTTGTCTGTTCCCCTTCCCCCAATTCCCCAGCACTGTTCCCATCCCCCCAATTCCCCAATAAAAATTAAAAAAAAAAATGTGTATTTTAAAAACGATTCTTTAAGGTCCCCATTCCATTTATTCTTTAATTTGACTATACTTGTGGGCTACTTGCTGACTTCACATTGGCTGTGCCTCAGAACACCAATCTACATTTGTGATTAAAGCTGCTAAAATTTCAAGTTGCTAAAATTTCAGTAAGTCATCTTTTTCCTCCTTAATTTTTGCCTTATCTGCGTGGTAGTGGCTTAAAAATATTGTTAAACAGAATGGATTTAATATGCTAACCTATAATTTTTTGGATAATCTAATTAAGATTGTGATAATGATAACAAAAAATCATATAATATGGTAGTATGCTTTATAGCATGAAAAGTATGAACTGTAGCAAAGGAGTAAAATTAAATTCCATTTATATGCTTGGTTTTTCTATACCTTTCCCTATATGTTTGCTGTGTGTTCCGAGGAGTAAGAATTAACACAAGGAGTAAGAATCATAAAAAAACAAATAATTTTTCTATAATTCATGTAAAGTTTGTGGAATGGTATTGTGAATTGTGTGTTTTGTGAGAAAAAAGCAGCGTTTTTAGAGGAGGAGAGGAGCAGTTGTGCTGGGCTGTCTTCAGTGTCCTGGTCTTTGCTTTTTGGAAACAAAGTCTGGCATTTGGTGTGAAAACCTTTGGAACTTTATAAATATTGACCATTCAATGGTACTTAGCTATCAAATAAGTTTGGTTTTTTTTTTGTTGTTGTTGTTTTTACAAAATGTAGCATTTAGCTGGTATTTATTAATTATTCACTGCATGACTAGAAGTGTTCCTGAATGATACTGATTTAATCTTTTTTAAAAAAATATTTTTATTGGGAAATTGGGGAAGGGAACATTGTATTTTTCCAGGACCCATCAGCTCCAAGTCAAGTTGTTGTCCTTCAATCTTAGTTGTGGAGGGTGCAGCTCAGCTCCAAGTCTAGTTGCCATTTTCAATCTAGTTGCTGGAGGGTGCAGCCCACCATCCCATGCAGTAGTCGAACCGGCAACCTTGTTGTTAAGAGCATTCACTCTCACTAGCTGAGTCACCCGGCTGCCTGTTGGCTGCTCAGCTTGGGCACAGCTCATTGGCCCTTGTGGAAATCAAACCAGCAACCCTGTTGCTCAGAGCTCACGCTCTAACCAACTGCACCATCCGGCCAGCCCGATACTGACTTAATCTTAAGGTTAGATTGAAGACCATGTTAGAAAATCTTTGAGATTTGGAGTGTTCTGGATAAAGTTCTTTGTCACATGCCATGTAGTCATTAATAAAAACTAAGTTCAGTTCTGTGTTACAGGAGCTTAAACTGCTTACTATTGTGTATATTTAGGAACAGTTTTTATAGATAAAATTCCAAATTTACCACTGTCACTTTAAGAATAGAAAGATGGTAAGGAAGATGCATGGCATCTATACTCCTTGATTTTTAGGCCTTAGACCTCGAAGTGCCTGCCTTGGAAGGAAAAGAAAACAGGAGGTAACAAAAAGAATAGAATGATTTTACTGGCCAGTAAATTTTGCTATACTTCTTAGGTCAGGGTACTCACAGTGTAGTACCGATGTCATGTGCCTAATTAATCCTTACCACCCGATTCTAGTTAGAAGATAATTGCTGTGCAATTCCTTTGTTTTAAAGTTTCAGGAATTCATAAGAGCTGGGTGTCTTAGCAATAGGTAGAGGTTTTTCTTTTCTAGGATATTTGATTCTTGAGATGCTTCTCCTGGCCTTAATGGGCTTCTTAGAGAAACGGTCAGGTCTTCATGGGTGAATTCCCACTACTGCACTACAAAACCCTTCAGTTTGGCCCTTTGAGAGTGAGAATCTAGTCACAGTACTTAGATTGGTTGCTTAGGGACATATTATAAATAGAACAGATTTATTGTTATAAAAACACATCTTAGGGAATAGTAATTGATGAACATGAATATAGATGGGAGTTGGGTTGACTAGTGTTATTTTCTTGAGGTAGAGTTGATATGTTTACTTTGGTTTTATTTAGACAATAAAACTAAAATAAATAAAACTTAACAGGCCAAATAAAATCACTATAAAATTTCCTTAATCATAAATGTCACAGATGAAGTCTGCAAGGGATCTGTGTTTTACTTGATTTCTTCATGTTTTTTTCTAGACTGCATGGTGATTGTTCATAGAATTTTCCCATTGGCAAATTTAATAATTGATAGGAACAGAATGCAAACAATCAAAAAAATACTGTCCATTTGAACTTGGTAGGTGAAAAATGGGAACTCAATATTCCTAGTCAAAATCTTTAACAATAGCTTGATATAAAACCAGCTATTGAGACCATACTATTTTGTTGACTTTATTCTTGGCTGGACCAACAAACTTCACTAGATAGTTAAGTTTATACAAGAGTGGAAAGGAGCCAGACTTAAGCTAAACCACTTGGAAAATTATTCCTATAGAGTTTATCTTTTAAAAGATTTTGGAGTATTGGGATTCAAGTTGAAGATTTGTCCAAGGAATTGGGTTAAGGCTGAAACACTAGAATGTCAGGTAAGAATGTTTACTATCAGGCTCTTTGATAGATTGTCCATGGTGAAAAGAGGGGCTGCTGGCTGTTGGCAGTCCTACTGAACTTTCCTAGGACTTCGCTGAAGCTTAGCTCCAGGGTTGTAAAAATCTATTGAAAGGAGTGAGCCTGTGTTGGCCATTTGTGTGATGATCATAGGGGAAGGAGCAACTAAAATTTTGTTTTTTTCCAACCATTATTCTGAAAGTGGGAAAGAGATAAGCAGATAGGAGTTCAGTGTTTTATAGAGAATAGTGTATAGGTGGTATT